ATTACAGGCATGCGCTACCACGCCTGGCTGATTTTTTGATTTATTGTAGAGATGAGGTCTCGCTGCCCAGGCGGGTCTCGAACCTGCGGGCTCAGGCAATCCACTCACCTCAGCCTCCCAAAGGCGCAGGATTACAGGCTGAGCCACCAAGCCCGGTTTACTGTTACTTTTTAACAAAACTATTTGAATGGGAAAAAGACCCAGACAGTAATGTTACCTCAGATGTATTTAACAGTAGGTGATCATTCCTCTTTATCTTCAGGGGCCAATAAAAATACCAGCTTATAAACTAAACAGTAAAGTTGCACTAGCAATTGAATAGTACCCTATTTTAATTTTTATGAGTTTTAAGAACATATTCTCAGCCAGGCTTGGTGATTCAGACTGTAATCCCAGCACTTTGGGAGGCCGAGGCAAGTGGATTGCTTGAGCCTGCGGGTTCAAGACCAGCCGGGGCAACTTGGTGAGACCTCATCTCTACAATAAAATAAAAAAATAGACAGGTGTGGTAACGCATGTCTGTAGATCCAGACACTCAGAAGGCTGAGGCAGAAGGATCACTGGAGCCCAGCAGGTCAACACACTAAGGTGGCCGTGAGCATGCATGCCACTGCACTCAAGCCTGGGCAAAGGAGTGAGACTGCAACTCAAAAAAAAAAAAAAAAAAAAAATTCTCTTCTTCCTTTCAATATAAAAAATCCTTCAGAGCACATTTTATAAAGAGGTGCTATATTTTCAGCCAGATGTGGTAGCTCATGCCTATAATCCCAGCATGTTGAAAGGCCGCGGAAAGAGGACTGTGTGAGTCCAGGAGTTTGAGACCAGCCGAGGCAACATAGCAAGACCTGGTGTCTACAAAAAACAAAAAAAATTAGCTGGGTATGGTGGCATGTACCTGTAGTCTCAGCTAAATGATCATCTGAGTCCAGGAGTTTGAGGCTGCAGTGAGCCGGGAGCATGTCACTGTACTCCAGCCTGGGTGACAGAGTAAGACTCTGAATAAAAAAAAGATACTATTTTCCCTTAGAGTATAATCTCTTCTAGCCTACATACTAGTTATTTTTTTCGTAAGACGTAAAAGTTGAATAAGTAAATACTATTTTAAAGTTATTTTTAAAAGCTTATGGAAAACAATAAATTCTAGCAATGTAAACTGTAAAAAATATTCTAATGACAGTAAATAAGCGTTACACCATTGTGAGCACTAGGCTATAAACTCTATAAGCAATACTGATTTTATCTTCTATTATATTCAACCTGCGATGCTTTAAAATGATGAGAACATCACTCACAATCAAGCATTGTTTTGGGGGGCTTAGGGACAAAATCATCTATCTACACAGCTTGAAGACTGAAGTTATTAGAGTACAGGAAACCTCAAGATTCATCTGATTCTAGCTGCTTAGATAACTCACTCCTTCACTGGGGAACTCTCTTGTTTCTGGATGGTTGCACTGCTGGGTCGTACTTTAGAGTACCGACTTCATGCTGAAGCCAGGATTGGGAAGGAGTGTTATGCCCTGTCACTTCACCCTGTTCCCTTGCCAATGGCTGCTTCTAGCAACCTCAAGGTGTTAAAAAGTACATTTCAGGGGAGAGAAGAAGAGATTTGTTAAAGAACACAAAAGTATAGCTAGACAGGAGGAATCAGTTCTAGTGTTCTATACCACTTTAGGATGACTATAGTTAAAAATAACATACAGTTTCAAATAGCTAGAAGAAGGATATTGAAAGTTCCCAACACAAAGAAATGATAAAAGTTTGTGATGATAGATATGCTATTGCCCTGATCTGATCACGACACATGACATGCATCAAAGCATCACTATGTCTCCATAAATATGTTCAGTTTTTATATGTCAGTTTTGAAAATAAAATAGTATTAAAAAACTTGTGGAGAAAAAAGTCACATTTTTTTCTATCTGAATGACTCATTCACTGATTTTTTTCATTTAGAAAGGATTTACGGAGCATGGTTACAGATGTCAGGAACACAGAAGGGACAAGACAGACAAGATCTCGTGGCACTTTAGTTCTACAAGGGAAGAAGAAACAATAAGCAAGAGACAAATATATAAAGATGGCTTAAGATTGCTAAATGCTACGAAGAAAATAAAACAGGATGCTGCATAAAACAAGAGCTACTTTACACCGAAAATTCAGGGAAGACTCAGGAGAAAGCAAAAATCTGAAAACTGAGTATCACCAAGGGCCAACCACGTAAAGTTCTATCCCAGGCTTGCTACATCTGAGGAAGAAATCTTGACACATCTGGGCAATGCAGCTGGAACAGAACAAAAGAGGGAGAGTGAAAGATGAGGACGAGGAATGAGGAGGGAACGGATCATACAGGGCATATAGGTGGCACAATTCATTCAGCCTCTGTGCCAAGCACAAAGGAGGGTTTTAAGCAGAAGCATATTATTACCTGATTCCATGTTTGTAAAAGATCACCTTATCTAGTGTACAAAGAAGAGACCATAAGAGGAAAGGGAAGCAGGTGGTAGAACAGAGAGAACACCGTTTCAGGTAAGAAGGATCCTTGAAGTAGGGCAGCAGCAGTAGAGACAGGGACAAATGAATGAATTGAACAGGGATGACCAGGAGAAGAGCAAGTTGAAGGAGAAGGGAGTCAAGAGCGTGAGGGGTGAGATGACAGCCAGATCTTCTATGAACACAGTCAAGCTGCCCTGTGGCCTGGCCAGTCTATAAAGGACGCCAAAGCATTGCAGAAAAGACAGAATAAAAGCTCACCCAACCTCATCTCAGTGCTGTATGATGTTGGGAAGATCACTTACTTGAAGTGGGGGGGGGCAGGGAATACTCCCCAAAAGCACACTCAGGTCAAATGGATCATCTCCCTACAGGGACTTCTGCTTGGCTGAGAGGAATATATATATTTGAGGCCAGGAGCTGAGCTGCTCAAGACAAAAGAGGAAACCTGCCACCAGTGGTCTCCTTCTCCTAAATAATACTCAGTTTGTTTTTCCATTTTTTATAATGTGCTCATTTTTTATAATGAATATGAACTGTTTTACAATTACAAAGATATATTAAAGCTAAACACATCCTTTTTATAACTAAGGAAACTTGGTAACGAGGCCAGACTTTTTCTTCTTCTTTTAAAGAACTTCATCCTTTTCAAAAGAGAAGAGTGCAGGGTGATGTGCTGATGAAAGATCTTTATGCAAAGCCTACCGAAGGTTTTACAGTGTGACATCCCAAAACGTCACACTTTTTTTTTTTTTTTTTTGAGTTGAAGTCTCACTCGGTCGCTCAAACTGGAGTGCAGTGGCCGCTC